CACACAACAGGATCATACTTTTTGCATGTGTTACTATTGCACAGATTATTGTGTTATTGTGTGCTATAGCTTGGACTGATTTGAAATCCTGTGCAGTTAGGGCACGATGCAAAAGTTAGTTGTGATCCTACCTAAAACATCCTTGTTTGCTTATTAATTATCTCTCAAATCACACATCAGAACTTTCTACCAGCATGTAGAAATACACCACACCAGAGTAGGTTGAAGTCAGACCACACTTTAAACTGCACGAACATGTAACTCTGCAAGTTGATTTTCATGGTCCAAATGGTCAACCACAGTATGCTTGATTTGAAGTGATGACTCTTGACTCTTTATTGAAGGCAATAGATTAGGTTGCAATGTTGGATGATGTGTATTTATGTGTTTCCAGGTTACACAGTGTCATCTGTGGTAGTCGGTGACTGGTGGAGACTGTATGTAGCTGGGGCTCCTCGATTCAAACACAAAGGCAAAGTCATCCTGTTTGAACTCAGTGAAGATGGCAATGTCAACATTGTACAGGCCCTCAATGGAGAACAGGTAACAGGTCTTCATGAGTCTCTCTTCTCCCTTCAGTCACTTTTATCTATTAAATATAGCAGAAAAACAGCAGAGATTAAGGCAAGGGCTCCACCTAATGGCAGTAAGCTGAAAGAGCGTGTTTCTGTCTGTAGATTGGATCTTACTATGGCAGCGAGGTGTGTGGGCTCGATATCGACCAGGATGGCATCACTGATGTCCTTCTGGTTGCAGCTCCAATGTTCCTTGGCTCAGGAAACAAGGAGGCTGGTAAAGTCTACATCTACTCCCTCAGCGGGGTAAGACAGCATTGGCACTGATCATTCCTTATGGAGTATTATGCAATCACTATAAGATTATGTTGTTTACTTGTTAGGTCTTCGTAGCAATTTTCTAAATATCTAATTTTTTTTTAATCCCATGAATGTTACCTCCAACTCTTCTATCTTCCTTCCTTCTTCTTCCTTTTTCTCCCAGGAAGAGAAGTTTGTATCTAATGGTACTCTGAAGTCTGAGGATAAGACCCAGGATGCCAGGTTTGGTTATGCACTGACAGCCGCTCCAGACCTCAACCACGACGGCTTCACTGACCTACTGGTGGGAGCCCCGCTGGAGGATGAACACAGGGGGGCCATCTATGTCTACCATGGAGACGGTATTCACATCATCCACAATTATAAGCAGGTACTTGTAATTTGCCCACAGATACATTTTCACTGGTGTATTTCAGGTTTTATTAAAACTGAGTTCTGTTCTGTTTTTGTTTCTGCCTCACAGCGTATTCCAGGGTCATCGATTTCCCCCTCCCTGCAGTATTTTGGCCGCAGTGTGAGTGCTCGGTTGGACTTGGACGGAGATGATCTAATAGACTTGGCAGTGGGTGCACATGGCAGTGCTGTGCTGCTCAGGTGGGTAGAGGCAGATTTGGGAGGGGAGAGAAGGGCATTGCCAGAACAGATTCTATTTTATAGCTGCAAGCATTGGGAGATAATGAAGCTAGACATTAAATGCATTAACTACAGCCAGCTAGTTTCTATGTTAAAGGAAATAAATCATACAAAAAAAAAAATGTATTTAATTTCCCATGTAGATTAAAATCATCTACTGGTTTCTACATTTTTATGGTGTCACACAGCTGCAAATTAAATCCTGTTTTATCCTCCACTGTCCTTCCTGTCCCCAGCTCTCGAAGTATAGTCCAGATCAATGTGAGTCTGTCCTTCCAGCCACACTCCATCAACGTCATTCAAAAGACCTGCCAGAGGGGAGGCAGAGAATCAGCCTGTCTCAATGCCACTGCCTGCTTCAAAACTGTGTCCCGCTCTCCTGGACCACACAGCAACAGCTTTGGTATAACGCTTTATTTATTCATAAACGCCAAAGTCACAGGCATGCTCTCTCTCTAAGCCTTACAACAAGCACTGTAAGTGTTGTGAATTGGCCAGTCGCACAAATGATTAGAATGGGAATTTTCCAACACTCACCATCTGTCTCAACTGCCTGCTCCCTCCTCAGATCTGTGGGTGTCGGCAATGTTGGACGACAGGAAGTTGTCTGCGCGGGCACTGTTTGACGACAGCTCCCACCGGCAGACCCAGCTGGCAGTCCGAGTTCACACAGGACAAACTCTCTGCTACAAGCTGCCCTTCCATGTCTATGTGAGTGTTAGCACATACATCAACCACAAGTTAAACATTAAAACATAATTCATACATGTACAACAGGAGAAAGTGAATGACTTTAATTGATCACATTTGTTTCTGTACACAGGACACAGCAGATTACATCCGTCCAATTAGCTTCTCACTGAGGTTTAAGATCAACAATACAGAGAGTGGTCCAGTGTTGGATGAAGGCTGGCCAACAACTGTGAAGAAATCTGTGAGTGGCACAGCATTGACTGTTATCGTTAACAACTTTCTTACTGCATCGCATTTCCACCTTCTTTTCTCCATCAAACACACTGTCCTCTGCACGTGGCCCTTCCAGATCCAGTTCTTTAAAGACTGTGGCGAGGATGATGTGTGTACGACAGATCTGGTGCTGCAGGCTCATATGGACATCTCTGGGACAAGGTACAGATTTGAGATGTTCCTCTATTCTCTTTTCTTTCCACATGAGTTTGATAGATATCTGCTCGGCTGTTTGGTTTCAGTGAGTTTTTCTTTGTGTTTTCTCCACAGACAGAAGCCTTATGTGATTCGCAGCCCTCGTAGGCGTCTGGCGGTGGAGGTGCAGCTTCAGAACAGACTGGAAAACGCCTACAACACCAGCCTGACACTGCACTATTCACGCAACCTGCACTTCTCCAGCCTCAGCATTAGGGTAAACCGCACACCTATACTGCTAACACATAACTCAACATAGAATTTACACAGACAATTTCTGTTTCTCACTTTTGTTTCTTTTGATGTAGGAGGATGCCCACTTTAAGATTGAGTGTACAGCCCTTGGTGCCAACAGCCACTCGTGTAATGTCAGCTATCCAGTATTTCGTTCCCAGTCAAAAGTAGGTCCATGCCGAGGAAATAGCTCCATCGCTCTCTCTCGACTCAGCCCACTCATACTTCACTTCCTCCAGGTGAAATGTGTCACTTCAGCAGGTTGTTCTCTCTTTTTATTTTACAGGTTAACTTCATGTTGGAGTTTGAGTTCAGCTGCACATCTCTGCACAGTAGAGTTCAGATGAAGCTTAATGCTGACAGGTAGCTCACCAAAGCAACACGTTCTGTATACTCCATAAGGTTTTTAATATGGTTTCTATAACAAGAGATTAAAAGTGTGAAAAGCACAGATTATGTAACCCTCTGGTTCTTTTACAGCGACAGTGTGGAGAGAGAGGATACTTTGGGGGACAACAGTGTTCAGCTGCAGAGTTTTGTTCAGTATGAACCAGACTTGTTTGTTAGCAGGTGTGTGCATAATACTGTATTTATTCAACAATCAGATATTTTAGTTACTTTAAATACATTGTATTAATGTGATGTTTTCCCCGTTTTTCTGTGTAGTGACTCTAATTTGAACCGATATGAGGTCCACCCCACTCGGACAGTGTCAGAGGCAATTGGACCAGAGTTCTTCACGCACCTCAGGGTAAATCTGTGGGCCACATGCCATGCTCAGTTTATAAACCTTCAAGTTATTGTAAATCTCCCAGTAAACTCTAAACTCACTCTAAAAAACAAAGACTCAATTAGAGAAATTTTTGTTTGTGCGTTTGTAGGTGCAGAACCTCGGCTGTTACTCTGTGAGTAATCTGGAGCTCAGGCTGCATCTGCCCTCTGTGGCTGCTGGAGACAGAGTCTTTATGACTGTCACTGATGTCTTTTCATACAACGTGAGTAGTGCTGCCACGTGAGTGTTTGTATCTCTCTTTTAGAATACATTTGACATATTTAAATTGCTCCTTAGGCCACAGGGGTGAACTGCAGCGTGCTGAGTGATTTGGCCCAGCTAAAGGCCAGACAGAGGGATGTACGCTCCCTTCATCCTGAAGACATGATGCAGGATGACATACTGGTAAGGCCCCTGGTAGCACAGCAGCCACTGAACACTGTGCAGTGCCACTACACATGTTAACATGCTGTTTGTTTGTATGTCTAGAACTGTAGCAGGTCATGGTGCACGGAGATCGTGTGCAAAGTCCAGCAGCTTCTAAGAGGCCAGGTGGCAGTCATTCGCGTCAGCCGCAGAGTTCATGATGATTTTTTCAGAAAAGTGAGTTACACAACACTACGCAGATGCTTATTACAACCGACTTTTTCTGTCCTATGACACACTGTGTGTCTCTTTTTGTAGGCCAAATATAAGTCAGTGAGGATAATAGGTGCCTATCGCCTCGCAGCTCAGGAGACTAACCTCGTTACTCTGGGTACAGGAACAGTCTGGAGGGAGGTAAGAAGACTGCAGTGTGGTTGTGAGTGGAAGAATGGCATTTACTTTCTCTAATTTCTCCCTCCATCTGTTTTTTTCTGTAGACTGTACTGGAGGTGCTAAAGGGCAGAGCTATTCCCATCTCGCTGTGGATTCTGATCGGCAGCATCATTGGAGGCTTGCTACTACTGGCCCTTATCATTTTCATACTATGGAAGGTACTTTCATGTTACATTTCCCTTCAAATTTCTTCAGTAAAAATTAGTGCGTTGTGGCCAGAATATCAATCTCTGTCTCACTTCTTGTCAGCTGGGATTCTTCACACGCAAACAGAGAGGAGAGGATGAGAACCATGAGGACTGAGCCCAACTTTTGCTGCCATGACAACAGTCATTTGCCATGACGAATACCACATGAGCCGAGTCCACCTCAGACCAGGCACAGAGATAGTACTGGGATTGGATTCGATACACAGACCCAACAGGGACCTCCAGGACCAAAGAGAACACCCCGAGGGTTCAACAGAAATGCACTACCCACTATTTCCAGGGTCGGGAGCACTTATGTAAATAATCTTTTTCTAATTTCAAGGAAAAACCAAAGTGTATTAAACCACAATTCTTCTATTTAATATACAGACATCTTCATGGTTTTACATTTCAAATGATCACTTTGTCCAATGTTTGTCTTACAGTTTTGTGTTAATGAAATTAAACCTGTTGAAAATAAGTATTCTTGTACTCAGTTTATTAATTTGCTGATGCATGCAATAAAAACAAGGAAAAAAAACTATCTATTTAGAATTTATTCCAATCCAAACTGAAACATTCCAGCTATATAAACTAAAACATATTTGACAGCATTCATACACAAGTACTATGAGTGAGTTCTCATGCTTGTACACCTGCTCTCAACTTGTGGCAGTGGAGTTGACATACGATTCTAGTAGAAAGATGGTTTCATCTACCTGGTTCTCTGCTGAATCTAACCTGCAGGGGAAAAGAACAATAGTGAGAATGGTAACACCAACAGACCAAAAACTCGATTCAATAATGTCACCTGTGGAAAAGGTTCTTTTGTTCCTACTTGTTGATATGAAGGCGCAAGGCCTCCAGCTGTTGCTTTTCAGGAGCGGTAATCATCTCCTCGACCTCCGTCAGCTGTTCAGGCTCGGCCCCGCTGGCCTGCAGAGATGCCAGAATGGCCTCGATTCGCTGGGATTTCTCCAGCAGACGCCTGTCAGTCAAGCAGAAAACCAATCAACCACTGATCTGTGACACAGATTTTTTTAAAGTTGATAAAGTGCGAATATCTGGCTTGCAAGGACAATAGGTGCGTTTACATGGACCATAACATTCCACTGAAAATCTGAATAATAACCCAGTCAGAAAAAAGGGTCTGTAGCCTAAACCAAGATGGCCCACTGTATAAGTGCATATCCGTAACATCAGGTGACCCAAGAACACAGGACCAGTTGTTCACACATTCTGAGTAAACATGTAACATGTAAATGCACATCTTATCAGTTCATTTTATTTAGTGGCCATGTCAACAGCAATGTCTAATCACAATGACTATAGTCGGGGTAAAGAAATATTGTCCATGTAACTGCAGCTAGTGAGACAGAGAAAACTTGAGGAAATAAAATCATAATGAACTCACTTGCTCTCTTTGGACTCAAACAGGCGTCGCTCTATAAGGTTGGCCACTGTCTGCACAGAAAATTGTCCAGAGATGAGAAATACTGCCAGAGATACTGATACAGAGGTGTAAAAAAAATCAGCAGTCCACTGATTAGTAGTGCATTGTTTTACCTTGTAGCAGTTCTGAAGCAGCATTCTTGCAGTTGGGAGTTGGTTGACGGTGTAAAGATAGAAGGTACGAGAGGGAGCATAGTCAGGAGTCTTTGGGATTTCCTGAAGAATACAAAAATATCATGGCTGTTCAGAGAGAAGGAGTAGGTAGATTAAAGAATGAGAACTACGGCTGCTTCCTCAAATTTGATGACTCAAATCATCTAAGAGTGCCTGTTCAAACTGTCAATATTAAATTCCTCCTCCATCATTGTCCACAGAATAAAAGATTAGGCTACGATGCTTTGTAGGTCTAGTTTTAAAAATATCTCATTCACTTAGTGCATCTTTAAAAAGTGTGCCAAATAATTTTCAAAGTAGGTTTTTGGATCAGATTTTTTTGGACTACTCCTACGTTCCAGGCAGTCACTCATGTTAATACTCCTGGCCTGAAGAGACTTGAAACTTGCTTTGTATATTTAATCACAGTGATGTCCTCTTCTTTTTGTCAAAGGTACAAATTATTTCTGGCAACAGTTAAGAGGGAGGACTGTTTTGGAAGCTAGAGTTTAAAAGTTCAGAGTTGGGTTATAGCCTAGTAAGAACACATGAATGTGAAGAGAGGAGCTGTGAAAGCATCTTCGTGTGTCAGGCGTGTACCTGCAGCTGCACCAGGTTCTGTGAAAGCAGCGTGTAGAGCATATCTTTAGCCTCTTTGGCTGGTATCATGGCAAAATCCTCCACCTGCTTCTGCTCCAGATGACGTTTCCTTAGCAACAGACGGAAGATGCGCGCTGATCTGGAGCCAAATCTGACAACAGATTAAAAGTGATTAAATTAATAATGAGTTGCTGATGACAGGACAATCGCACATATAGACGATTTTAAAACCCACACTCACTTACCTCTCCTGTACTACAGACTCAAGTGTGGCCCGAGCTAGATTGGCCAGCGCTTTGTGGAGATCTGAGAGGTGAGTTAAGAAAAGCAAACCACGTGTTTCATGAATTAAATGTGTTGGTTCTTGACAATATACTCAATGAAAAAGGATACTGACGACGTACATCCCTCCTCCGCTTTCACCAGCCTTCCCCACAAACTCCATCTAGAAAATGAAAAGGACAAGCACATCTAAAAAATCTCTAGATTAAAAATTAAGATTGGAAAATGTGACAGGTGCCTTGCAGACGGTCATACCGGGTCATCAACTAGCAGCGTGAGGTACTGGTCTAAGATGGGTCTGGGGATGTTGTAACTACTTGGGAGGGATCTGAAGATCTCATTGGCTGAGAGGGGCTTCGTGCAGGTGGCTGTGGGCGAGGTCGTCACCTCACTCATCCTCAGCATCGTCCTCACTATCTCACTGCTAGTCTGAGTTATTAAGATGAAATGATTTAGAAGGACAATCATTATAAAAAGTCATAAACAACCATAATAATAATAATAATAATAATTGGTCCTACTATAAAAAAAAACAGGCAAGATAGGAAAAACGATACCACTCGAATATCTTTACAGCAAATATGAAGCTGTTAGCTTAGCTTAGTATAAAGACTGGAAACAGGGGTGAACAGTTGGCCTGACTCGGTCTAAAAGGTAACAAAATCTGCCTACCATCACCTCTAAAGCTCACTAATATCTTGTTTGTTTACCCTGTGCAAAGGTTTAAAGTCTTGTCATCACCATCAGGCTGCCAGGCAAACAGTGGGCGAGATATAACATGTTAATTAGTGAGCTTTAAATGCACTAAAAGGCAGATTTTGTCATGAGAGTGGTATTAATCTTCTCAGTGGTATTAATCTTCTGACCTGGTCCAGTTTGTTGGCTACAGCACTGATGATGGCCTGGTCTCTGAAGTGGAGATGGAACCTCTCAAAATTCACCTGCCAGTAAATCCCCTCATCACCATGTGTCTGAGCAGAAGAGATGAGAGACACAAACACAAGAGGAACAATACATTATATGTAAGGGACAGGGAAATTAAGGTGATTTGAGTTTTGTAGAGCAGCAAATGTCTTAAAAGTATAACTAATATGTTCAAAACACCCACCTCTGAATCCATTTTAGTCTTCTTTGCATTCCTTTGGTCCTCTCCATCCTCATTGGAGAGTCGCCGTTTGCCTCTCCCTATGAGTGTCACGTGAGGTACCCTGTAACAGTCGGGGAAGCTCTCTGGTGTGGGCGGGGCGGTGCTAACGGGGGCAGCGGGAGTACCAGGGATAGCAGGGGTTGCAGGGGTAGCTGGAGTGCCACTGTCTTTTGTTCCTGCCCCTGCCATTGGAGGGCAGCGTTGAAGAAAATGGGTCTCCACCAGTTTGGAGAAGGCAGAAGACACTTCACTGTAATCCATGCTGCGCCCCTCTAGAACAGGAAAGGAAAGACAACGTGGAAATTGCTGTTGTAGTTTATATTTTGAGGGATGTTTGAAAGGTGTTACGTGGTGGTTCCCACTTGCTAATCCTGCCTGGTTCCCACCGAGGCTTTCCTACCCTTTGGCCGAATGTATGTATTGTATGGTAACTGCCAAGACAGCAGTAGTGGTAATTGGTAAACAATAGTAGTGGAGACATGAATGGTTCTCTACAGTCCTTGACTGATACAGACACTGAGATACTGACCCTCCATGTTCTGCGTGAGGCGGTCGGCGACTGTCTTAACCGTGCTACTCATGGTCATGTCACCTCTCTGTAGTAACTCCTCTATGATGAGCTCTCCGGTGTCACCGTACAGGGTTTTGGCGGTGTATATGTAGCGTGGGTATCGCAGAATTCTCAGAATCCGATCACAGCTGGTCCGATACTCGGTGGGGCTCCCGGGTGCTTTACGACCTGAGCTGAACACACAGGTCCCATGCTGCACAAGCACACACAAGGACTTCTTCACCTACAATGAGACAGAAAATGGTAAAGAAGAGGTGTTTTACCACCTTGACTCCCTTTACATGCACACAAAAACTGATTACTAATTAAATAAAGGCAGAAAATGCATTTGTATACTGTAAATAACGGACAAGCATGTTTTGTGCTACTGCCAGTAATCAGATTTTCCTATACTAAAAGAATCTAATGTCTACCTTCTTTCCACTATTGTTCTAAAAAAAACATGTAAAATTATTATTTTTTAAATTCCCTGGCACTGCAGCAACATTACTGTGCAAGATGATGTTAAAATCTTTTTCAAAATCACAGCTAAGGTTATACATAAACAAGTAATCAGGTTTCTGGAGCAATAATGTAAAAGGTACACAGGGTTTTGCATTTAAACAGATGATACTACTACTGCACTACTGCTGCAAATGGGGAAAAATGTCTGTAATATTACACCTACAAACGGCTGGACCACTAAACTCCGCCTGAAAATGCTGAAAAGCAGTGTATATACAGCTAAATATATAAAGTATAATCATCTCTCCTAGTGTGAAGTTGAGACACTAAAAGCGTACCAGGTCCAGTGAGATCCCGGTCTCATGAATGATGGTTCTTAAATTCTGTGCTCCACTTTTGAGCAGGTGTGTTCCCACTTTCGCCACAACTTCTCCAAAGTGCTCCTGCAGCAGGAGACCACACAGACGCACCTCCTGGGCAGTCATCTGCACAGACAAACACACAGAAACATTCAGATCGAGAAAGGTCTCACATCCAGGCTCACTACAAGTTTCCAGACAACCTACATTAAGCACCTGTATCCACAGTAAATACAACACCGTCTATGTTCTTTTAATATTCAGTATATATAGTAAGCTTAGCTTTACCAGCTGACTTCTCAGAACACCTCATAATAAAGAACTAATTGTAAATATAAATAAACAGTAAACATAACATTGATCATTTCCTGTATTTCTGATGCATTTTCTTGCTATTTCATTGAAAGTTTGCATTTTGTTTTGATAGTGGCTGGCTGCCACCAAAGGAGGGATTATCTTTTGGAACAATAAGACTTTCTCAGAGCACAGACGTTGCTAATAATATCAACAATGGCTCGATTTATTCAAGTGTCCCAAAAAGCTGCGACAGTGAGTCAGCATGCACAGTATGAGGACTCTGAAGGAGCTACATGGAATTCAGCCATCATTAATTTAATTATTAAAAATAATAATAATGTTATTATTCACACAGCCCCCCTGTGTGAATAATAACATTATTATTATTATTATTATTATTATTATTATCTGTTCCTTCTGCCAGTCGACTGTAATAAACTATTTGTTTCAGCTAGAAACCAGTAGGATGAATCCTTTTTGGAGTTTGACCCATAATAAGTGACCTGACTAAATATCCAAATATATTGGTCTCTGCTGCTTCAATTTTGGATAATTTGTTTGTTAATTTGCCTCTCAAAACTTTATGGCAGTGCAATAGGAGACTTGTTTGGGCTCGAAAACTGCTACACAATTGAACCGCCCAGCAATAAGTTACCAACATTAAACCTTTGATTATACCTGTTCCTTAAGTGCATTGCTGCAAGGCTGATCCACACTGTACAGAAACTCTGTAGAGTACATATTGTCAGTGTTTGTCATTCATTTAGTGACAATAACAACAGAACCAGACTAGTTTAACAGAACAACAGCCAGTAAGCTGAACATTGTGCCATCTGAACCTCCTCACTATGTTTCACAAACCTCTCCGACAGCGAGCTTTCTGGACAGAGGCGATCCTTGCCTTCACGCATCCCACTGACCGCCGACTGAACACATGCGGGCCTCTCGTTGACAACACATGAACACTTCCGCTCTCCGGCTTTGCTCTCGCTCGGATTTGCCCAGCGGTGCCGCGGTGCATGCCGGGCTGGAGGCGGACAGCTGTCTTCAGTTTGTGGAGGACCGACGTCAGTGTTTGTGCTGGTCTGTGGGGGAAGATGGCGGAGGCTGCGGCTGTTCCACCGCATCGGTTTTTCTGTCACTGTTGTAAGGGAGAAGTGAACCCCAAACTCCCGGTAAGGCAGACGCTTCTCCTCACGTTGTCTATCACACTCTCTTGTATATTATGTGCGGTTGACAGGTCGGCTTCGCTCCGATATATCGTTTGTTTCGTTTGCTTGCTACAGCTAAAACACTAGCTAGCCCAGTTAGCAGCTAGCAGCGTTTGTTGTTGTTAACTCTCTAAATAAACTCGTGACACTCGCAAATGTCTCCGTCCTCAAAACGGACACCAAAAGTAAATATCTACAGGTTTAGGTGGGCTTGCATGTGTAGGACATTTCTGTCAAAGAGCTGTGTTTGACGCCTTGCTTTGACAGCTTGGGGGATTTTGTGTTTTGTACAACACTTAACAGCTGAGAGAAGAGAGGAAGGTTATTACCTGGTCATTTTGATATTATAGGCAATATTTACATTAGTTGTTTGATTATTGGCTGTTTTCGTTTTCAGTTTTTATTTCTAAACGCATTGTTGACAGGGCGAGTTGGGGATTTTTCAGGGAACATTAACATCTAACTAGTTTTTAGTTTCAGTTTTAAAAGTCAAACGTGAGAGCAAAAAGCCAACGTGACCCACATCTAACAAGACTTTTACTAACCTCAGGGTGTATACATGCATCCACATCCTGGACAGTCGTGAGGGTTTCCTATTTGCACTCAGTTACCAGTTTATTAGGTACACCTAGCTAAAACTAATCCCGTGTAAATCCTAGATTCATGGAGGCTAAAATGGTTTGTGGAAACTGTTCTTAGAGAGATGTTAATTCAACTGATTGGTCAATTTGGAAGCTGTTGTTTGTAGTGGGGTTAACTTATGTTGTGTTACACTGACTAGAGGTGAAAAGATTAGTTAATTAATTGATTAGTTGATCAAGAGAAAATACATTTCTAACAGTTTTGGTATATTGAGTATGTCAAATGTGTAAAAGATTAGCTGGTTTTTATAGTCTTTTATTTTATCAGTCTGACTTTATTTGAGTTTGAGTTTGAGTTTCTGTTTTTATTTTATTTTAAAATGTCAACTTTTTGTCAATTGTGATGGCAGTATGACTCTTGGTCTGTTTGAGTGTATATTTTAAATGCACTAGCAGTCACAATGTCCGTAAGTCAGTCCACTAGATGATCTTGTCAGCTGAATTCTTATTTTTATGATATGGTTTGGGGTACTTCCAGCCTGCCATGTCACTGACTCTAAATTGGCCTGCTTGTGTCAGGCACACTCAGTCCTGTGGCATGTCTTCACTGAGCCAACTGACTGAAACACCCAGTCTTATCCCCCCCTACACTACTACAGAATATCCTGAGGACCATCTCTGTCATGTATCCATTTATACAACAGATGTGATAACCTTTCTTTTAGCAAATGACACACAACTCACTTAAACTGTTGATGTGATGTTTTATAAACCAAGCTAATAGATGTTAAGTTGTCATGTGAGTTTGAGCGTAGAATTCATTTGTATTCTGTTTTCAAAAGCATCCAGTGACCTCCAAATATAACAGAATATACATAATTTATAGTACATAATATAGTATTTAAAAATGTGACCTACCTTTTTTAATTAACATCTGTTATAAAATTAAACAATTTAAATGACACCACTTCAGTCCTGTTCCCTTGGTTGAGAAACCATGGCTTACAGTGAGTGGACAACATAGGATCCAGCTGTACGAACTGGCAGTAGTGCCTTCCTCATTCTGTTGTGGTGGTTTCTAAAACACTCCACAAATTAGGTGTGGTTGGCAGACCAGCTCTACCTCCTGGGCTACATTCATAAAACACTGGTTGTCATACAAATCTGGCTGATATTATTCATTCAAAGACAAACTGCCAGTATGTTGTTTTGTTGACCAAACCGGTCAGCATATTGCCTTTTACAATGTTTTATTGATTGCTGTAAATGTGTGGGAGGTATAGAAGAATATTTTCCAGATATCACAATATGGCAAATACAGCATGTGGATATTTTAGAACAACACAGTGAACTTCTTTCAGTTTTATCAAACATTTCACATGTGAAATACAAAAGCCTCAGTCATGCATTTTCTCATAATTATTGGATAATAAAATCATAATACAATTAGATCATATCACCAGTATAGTTGATTGACAGAAAATAACAATCTGCAGCTACTTTAATAATCAGTTATTTATTTCATTTTGAAACTAACTAACTAACTTTGTGGTGACTCTTTCTAGGAGTACATCTGTCCAAGATGTGATTCAGGGTTCATAGAGGAAGTAACAGAAGACTCCAGGTAAGAGATGTATATTATTCTAGCTATCTACCTCGCGTCTCCAGACAACATGAGATGTGAAGGCATTTTAGTGTTAATCTGGAACAAAAGCAGGCACGTGGGCTGTCAGACATTTTCTCATGCTTATTTACAAGAACCCAATTGTTGCACTGTAGATGCTTGTAGGCTTTTGTCCCAGGCTAGCACTGACCCTGAACATCTGTATTGGGTTGTAATAATAAGGTGTCTTTTGTCCCCTTGTGCGCTGTTTCCCTCAGTCTCCTAGAGGGTGGCGCTAACGGGATAGATGACACAGCCACACAGTTTGCAGAGGTAAGAACTGATGTGAGGGATTTGGGGGAGATTGGGGTGAAGATGAGGGTAAAGAGGATTGATTGCAATCATTTTATGTGTTTTGATTAACATTGTCTTCTTCTTTCCCTGCCTCATCTGCCCTGTCCTTCATTTTGCTATCGCATGTTGGCTTCCTCTTTTTTTCCTCATCGTGCTGCCTGCTTTACTATCCTTAATCCCACTTTCTGTCGGAAAATCCCTCTTTCCCTCAAACCCTTACCTGTCTCCTCCCCTGTCCAATCCCGACATCCCTGTAGTTATGGCACCTGTTGTTACTGGAGCGGCCATTTACAACAGACGGTGACACACCTGACTCAGAACCTCGGCTCCCTGGAGGTCGCTTGGGGAGTCTCAGTGACCTGGGGGGGTTGGGAGGGGGACCAATCGGGGGGTCAGTCCCAGCAGGCCTAGGAGGACCTATGGGGGGTCTACTAGGAGCTGGGGAACACTGGGGACCAGGACGTCCCCCTCGCCTGCACAGCCATAGGAGATACCGGTCCAGAGGCAGCAGTAGACCAGACCGCTCACCTGCTGTGGAGGGGTGAGTAACTGACCTGTTCAGCTTTCTCCTCTTCTGTCTTCTTTACCATCCCATTGGCTCTCCTCTCCACTCTTCATACTCCCACTTATAATAATGACAGTGCTATTTATGCTCTTACAAGTTTAAGTGTTCTTGTTTTTGCCGGTGACATTAACTGTATATTTTCTCTCTGTCTCTCAGGATTGTACAACAGTTTCTCGCCGGCCTCTTTGCTAACTCTGGAGTCCCTGGTTCACCTCCCCTCTCATGGTAAGATGACATTACAGTAGCGTCAGGGTGTTAGTTCTAGCGTCACAGCGTGAGTGCTATTTCTTAACAACTTGTGGTGTCTGTGTCTCTCTCAGGACGGGGATGCTGCACTCTAACCCAGGGGATTACGCATGGGGACAGGGAGGGTTAGACGCTGTGATAACACAGGTAAACCAAATTTATTAGGACTTTATTCAAACCTCGTGTACCTTTTTTTTTTTTTTTTTTAAATGTTTCTGAAGTTTACAAATGTGTGTGTGTGTGTGTGTGTGTGTGTGTGTGTGTGTGTGTGTGTGTTTAGTTACTAGGTCAGTTGGAGAACACAGGACCTCCTCCAGCAGAGAAAGAGAAGATCTCTTCTCTCCCAACTGTCAATATCTCTCAGGAACAAGCAGGTCAGTATTTCCTTGTTTTCCTATTCGTCTCACTCGATCTCTCCGCGTTTTTCTTGTTGTGTCCCTGAAATAGAAATTGCAGTATTGCTTATGTACATGGCTGGAGCTGCCAGTCTGATCCTATGTATGCAATAACTGTACTGTATTTAGCTATGTACACACCTTGGGTTGGACAAGTTCTTTGTGAATCTATTATTAGCTAATCTAATAGTGTGTAAAGGCATCACTAAGTTCTTAGTAACCTCTGGCTAGTTTAAAGTAGTGATTTAAATTAAGCCGCACCATTGAAACCTGTCTTACCTATTAAAGCCCCCTCCAGAAAAATGTGCTAATAACACATCTGTCATTATATAAATACATGCCTATTTGTTTAGAAGTCTCTGCAGCACTTGGATACAGCATGAAAAGGCACTTGTGTTTATATGCTGTTGCTGCCTGCCAAGAGAAGCCTCTGAAACTGTGTCTGTTTGGGACGAAATGCTCATTAACCTTGAGAGTATCAACAGTTTGTTCCATGAATATCTTTAAGATGACGTTGTTTTGCTCCTTGCTGGTCTTTCACATCCCCTGTTTTTTCTCTACATAGTCCTCTTGTGTGTCTGTTCTTCTTGACTTCCTCTTCTGTGTATTCTGTCCTATTTTGCCACTCAGCTGTAACTGTGTGGTTAGTTATGCAGACCCAACTTCTGCAGGGCCTTTGGTAGCTGATAGTCCATATGTCTTTTTTTTTTTTTTTTTTGCCCTATCAGCATCAGGCCAATATCTTTTTTTTTTTTTTTTTTTTTTTTGTTTCATTGTTTTAGTAATTATAAAATCTATGCTTGGTACCCTTAAATATTTCACTACCCTGCTAAGGAACTTTACGATGTAACCATAGATTTGGTACTAATGATCTGACACATCCCCCCTCAACAAATCTAGCTAGTCATTACCAAGTGACTGATAATTAATACTAGAAATGAGTTACCACAAGGGTATTGATAGCTAATGAATGGTGTCTCTCCTCTCTCCTGTAGACTGCTGTATGGAATGTCCGGTGTGCAAAGAGGACTTCGCAGTGGGGGAGCCAGTCAGACAGCTACCCTGTAACCACTTCTTTCATTCAGACTGTATAGTACCATGGCTGGAAATGGTGAGTCACAACAAACAAGATAGAACTTTGTAAAATAAACTGGATCCTTAATGACGTTTAATACTGTACATTAGATATTGACAGCCGTCATTAAGACCTAGAGGCAATTTGAGCACATGCTTTGGCTACGGGGTAATCCACATGGAAACATCAGGGCTGGCGATATTCTACATTTTTGTTATTGTCAACAAATCCCATGAAAAGACCAAAACAAACAATAAATGAGTCCATCGTCCCCCCTCTGAGACACTGAAGACGTAAGACCTTTTTAATAACCCCTCACAAATATATGCTTTAATATTTCAAAAACTAGATAATTTACTAAAACAGCTGGTGGCTATTTTGAGTTGTGGATTCATTTGGTGTGCTAGCTTTGTAGCTGTGGCTCAGGAGATAGAGCGGGTGGTCCACTAATCTCTGGGTTGGCGGTCAGATCTTCCTGGCCACATGTCATAGTGTCCTTGGGCAAGACACTCAACCCTGTGTTGCTCCTGGTTGGGCAGTTCAGCACCTTGGATGGTAGCTCTGTTGCCATCAGTGTGTCTGTGTGTGTCTGTGTGTGTCTGTGTGTGTCTGTGTGTGTCTGTCTGTGTCTGTCTGTGTCTGTCTGTGTGTGTGTGTGTGTGTAAATAGGAGGCCAATTGTAATGTGTCTTTGCTCTAAGGTAGACAAGTGCTATATAAGAAGATTTACCATTTAGTGAGTATTTACAGCACCAGGATCATGTATGTGATCAACTCAAATAAACATTTACCTTGTTTATTGTAATGAAGGAACATGTTGGCCAGTGCAGCGGTGTGGCTCTCGAGACTAATGGCACAGAGGAATAACCTGTATCAATCGATTGTTGGCTTTGGTCTTTTCAAGAGATTTGTCCACAAAAAGAATATATAATATTGCCAGCCTTAACATTAGAATGGGTTCTGTTATAGTAATATCTGTAGTGAAAAGCTGTGTTTGTGTTCGCAAATGAACAATAGATTGTTTAAGGATTTGTTTACCCATACTGAAGTGGCCCTTCTCTACCAGAAATTTATTCAAATGACCAAATATCCTGGAAATGATCTAATGTTGTCCTCCAAAAATTTTAATTGTATTTTGGCCCCTCACCCTACTACTACTACTTTAGAGGTAAACTGTAGTCAAATCACCGGAAACGCTGCAGAAAAATCTGCTGTGGCGAGAACAGCAAGCTAATGCAGAGTGTCTTATAAATGCTGACCACCTACCTGTAATGAACCTCATTAAAAAATGAGGACTAAAACTGGGAAAAACAATAATAGGCCTAGCATTAAATTATATGACCGTTTGTGAGCCAGTGCTGTCCTGCATTGTCAAGAAAACTAATGGAAAGGTTGTGGACAGTGATTTTGTTCAGGTATACTGCCGACAGAAAGACAAAGAACAGCCTGAGCGCCATGTAAAATAGGAATCAGGACATAATTAATAAGGAGTTGCTTGTTAAAACTGCACAAAGCTAATGTTATCTGTATTCTGTTCTGTGGTCGTACAGCATGACACATGTCCAGTGTGTAGGAAGAGTTTGAACGGAGAAGACAGCAGCAGCCAGCCCCCATCAGAGTCCCCCTCCCTCTCCATGGACCCCCGCACACAGGAGAGATGGTCCTTCTGAGGCACCCACCTGTCTCATCCCTCGGTTCTCCTCGCCTACATCCAACAACACACCGAGAAGACAAACTTCTCACTTTCCTCTTTTCATCTCTGTTGCAGTCATAATCATCTCATTTTTTGTATTTTTATTTTCTATTTTAATGCCTTCCTCTTCAAACATGTATACAGATACCCTTACAGACGTCTTAACGGTCACACGAGGTCTGCTAGATCTCTCTTCTGTTATTTTTTTTTCTTTTTCTTTTTTGCCTAATAACAAACCAGCCTAGATTGATGATCAAGCCCATGTCTTCTCTACTTCCACTCCACAAACTCGTTTTCCATCTTTCTCGAAATGCACTGCTGCAATACACTATTGTGGGGAAATGCCAGACTTTATATCATACACCATGCCCTTTTTACTCATTGAGAAATTAGCTAAATGCTGCAACTGAGCCCTGTATGGCATATGGGAATACTGTAGGGGTCACTATCACTCTTGGCATTTACAAGGACTGGACCCGACAACATGAACACCTACAGCCCTGCAATAAATAATTATGTTTCTGAAGGGTATAATGTTTAATTTTTGTTGAGATTATGTCAGGAAGATGTTGATTGAACTGTGGGTCGCTGCCGTTTAATGGCCACAAATAGAAAACTGTGACATCAAATGCAAGCAAAGGAGGATTCCTTACACCTTTCGGGACTCTTCTGCATCTGAAAGAATTTAAATGTTATACGAGTAAGGGAATGAAATTAAAAATCTATGGAGCGCAGCCCATTGTCTAATGCTTTAGATTTAAAAATACTCCTCCTCCTGGTGTATATATTATAAACAGATGGCATCCCTGTCATTTTATTCCTCTGTTTATGGCTGTCTTTTGTTTCACATTTTTATCACTTTTTTGGTTGATGTAAATAATTTTAGTCCAACAACTTATGGTTTGCAAAGGAAAAAAAAACATTGAGAATGGACACACAAATGTGAAATACCTGGTTATCGAACTGTATATTATATATATGAAAAAAATGTCTATGATGTATTAATAAATTGACAAAAAAACTGTCATAGTTTTATTGTCATTGTGTACATTTTATGCCCTCTCTGCACCCAAAGATACTTGACGTTGGATATTTTAAAACAATTTGTTCTTTATTTAACATTAAAATAATGATTTAATAGCAATAGCGCAAGGCATTTACAAATTATGTACATTATTTATATTTCTTCACAGATAAGACATGTTGAGGACACTTCAAGCATCTTATTAGCTGGAAATCAAGGCACCAGTTACACTTCAGTACAGGTCATTCTGGTGATACATTCACTTCTTTCAGGTACCATTCCTGATAAGAATCGGCACATAAAAAAGCATTTTAAGGATTGTGGATTAAAATCACATTAGCTGAGGTTAATTTAGGTGACCAACGAAATCACTAAAGCTGTGCAGATAAAAAAATAATCCTGTACCAGCTAATAGAAAAATGTGTGCATTGAGTGGCTTGTAAGAGTAATAACTGGAAGTATTTATAATGTGATTCAAGTAAAACAAATGCATGTGCAGCTTTTAATGATCAGTGTGTGTTCCAAGCAAGTGTGAGCAAAGAATGAGCCGGAGCAGTGGAGGGGATGTAGCCCACAGCGGGATCCCACACCTCAAACTGGACCTCTGATGATGACCTACAGAGACCAAACATAGAGTAGAATTAATTAATTTTGTCATCTGCACAAAAAATTAAGAGGATAAAAACACATTTCCCATGCTATACCTGTTGAGTATGATGAGCACTACTGAGCCATCTGGTCTGATGAAGGCAGAGTACTCCAGGTCTGTTTTCTGACTAGCAGACACACCCACTCTCTGAGACCCCTCCCACAGGAACTTGCTGTGTAAAAAAAAAAAAAGATGATTTGTGTGTCTCATTAGACTGCCTCCTTGTAATACTGGAACAGGTTAAATATTCCATTCAGTGTGATCATGTGAGACCCAGTTTCTTACCTGAAGTGGGCCATGCTATAGAAGGATGGCTGCTTGTAGAAGACATCACGTTGTGCATCTACTATAACGGGGCTGTCTACAAAGTTTTTAACCCAGTTTGGTCCACCAGTCTGGTCCAGTGCCAGGTTCCAGTCAGTCCAACCCACCACATAATGATTTAGGTCCTGCCGTGGAGAAAACACCCACAGTTTAGTATCTAGCCTGTGCTTTGTAGCTGTGGTTAGAGGTGTTGCTTTGTTTAAATGAATCCATTGGACTGGTGCCTGGTGTTCTCTTTAAATGTCACAAGGACAGCACATCTACATAAACAAATCCCTCCTGATTCTCAAGATGTCTAGAGTCTGAATGCGCCCATGCAAAATGGATAGAATGGAGGGAGTCCAATTTCCTTTGAAAGAGAGTGAAGAAAGGAGAAACAAAACACCAGTTCAAGCTTGCATTGATGGCCTGCAGGCAGTTTCTGAAGAGTGTCTGCAACAGACTGCAACCTGTAAACCTGCACTGCAGCATCGAGGGAGGTGATTCACCTTTCAGAAACAACTCGCAGCCTGCCAAATCTCACATCTGTTACTCTGGATCTGACTGAACAGGCATAACCCTTGTGCATAGGCTAAGATGATCTTACCACTATAATGTCATGTGCATACTGTTCGGCCCTGTCCCAGCTGCCCAGCTTCACGCCTCTGTCTAGTGGGTTCCAGCCAGAGCAGGCCTCTGTGCCAAACAGGTAATACTCTGGGTAGAGATGATGGGTGACTCCGAGGCTTATCTCAGCTGGAACAAGGAAGTCCATGTACCAGTGAACTGCCACACCATGAATGTACCTCCCAGCATGAACATCATTTAGGACCTGGAGGAACCAGGGGGAAACAAGTCTTGAGTCAAAACAGAGTTTCCACATGAATTGCATGCAAATATTTTCTCTTGCCTGCTGTAGACAGTAATGTTCGTTAATAAATGCTTTTGTATCTGACTGCAGGGTGTGGAGAGACGTTAGACACCTAAAAAGGGGATTTGTGCCAATGTAGACTGTGTCTTTTTATAGGATTTTCATCACACCTGTAGAAAACACTTCTGCTAGCAACACTAACTCATTGTCTCACAATGGGCAAGTGTCGATTTGAGCAACAACTTAAATACATTTTCTACTGGTTAATTGATCCAAACATATTATGCTACTCATCCGGGTCCAGATCATATTCATATAATTGATTATATCACCAGGAATATAGTTATATACTGCTGGGAAGTGCTGAAAAGTGTAATATAATAGCAATATCATCCCCACTGGTTTTCCATTATACTTTGGTTAGTATGATCATGAAACAGGTATTAAATTCGTTTTATGGGATAGTAAAAAAAGGTAATAAAAAGTGTTATTAAAGATGATAAAAGCCCAAAGACTAAAAAAAAAAAAAAATCTAACTTGAACTCTACAGAAATCTGCTTTTTTGAACAGGCCTTATTTAATCTTGTCCTTGACTCTTGTGACAACCTCTCAGTGAAGACAAACACTTTTCTTCAGGAGTCTATCTGATACACTGGTAGTTTGGAGTCTTCCCTCCACTCCTCCAGAGTGTATGGTAGTTGACTACACTTATTTTAGCTTTCCCCCAGCACCTAACCACATTTAACTTACCTCATATCTTCTTTATTGTGTTGATTTGAACTTGTATTGTATTCTATTTTAAGTATCATATTAAGATATTTTAGTATTGATTTATCTATTTTCTTGTCTGCAACGCCAGTGTAGCCTACAGCAAAGTTTACTACGACCTTTCCCACTATCTCTCCGTCCTTGGACTCACCACTTTAGCCCAGTGAGGCAGCAGCAGGCGGTTGTCATCCAGTATGAGTATGTGTGTGTGTGGGTGTGACGAAGCGTGCAGGGCAGGGCCCAGGTCCAGAGCCACCCAGTCCCTCTGCTCCTCAGGAGTGAAGCCCAGAGCCTGGAAACTGCAGTGAGACAAAGATGCTTCTCAGTCTGTTGTGAAATTCAAGAGTCATGACGATTCTATGTAATCTAATGTGAGGAGAGACCTGTAGTTAGTCATCCGTCCTGCAGAGGGCTCATTCCCTGTGGTCAAGGCCCAGAAGGTCAAGTTATATTTAGCATATTCCTCAAGGAACCTGAGAGGAAAGAAAAAGGTGGCCACCGCAATAAGTTCCCCTCGTATCACGCAGTACCAACATGAGCCATCACATTCAGGTAAAGCCGCTCATGTCACCTGATATAGTACTGAGCCCAGGTTTTATACTCCTTGCCCCCAGGCTGGCCCTTCAGGGAGCCCTTCCCCACAAGCGCACCATTAGTTTTCATCCAGGCGGGGGCGCTCCAGGCACTGGCCAGCAGTGACAGAGGGCGAGGAGACAAGGCCTGAGCACGCTGCAGGAGAGGGATCTAAGAAGAAGAAGAGAGATTAGAGGGATGGAGTGATGGACATGTGTATATGTGTGAGAGTGGAGGAGGAGAGAGAGACCTTCATGTTGATGTCCTCAGGGGCCAGTGTGAAATTGTCCAGGTTGTAGTCTCCAGGTGTGTCATCATAGGTGTACAGACGGGTGGAGAAGTCACAGCTGGCCATTGGCACACGCACCACACTGTAGCCGATACCTGCCAGAGACACGGCATCAATAACAGCTAAGCCTGTGTGATTGGCTTGTAGAGGAAAAATATTTTGATTATACACGGAAAACCTCCACACTCAGTTACTTAAACCCATGGGTCAACAGTATCGTAGCAAGGACACATGTATATAACATTTATACATGTTTGTAAAACTTTCTGTTGTCCAGATGAGTTATTGAGGTCATTATAACACTATAATGTAGTTGTAAGCAGTGTCAACAACTATAACTCTTCCTGAGGGCACCCATAAGTGGATGATGGTCTATAAAACAGATAATTAATTAAATATCAAATATATCTTCATAGGAGAAGTTGCACAATTGGACTTACTTTACTTTAAACACTTAAAATGTTCTATAATATATATATATATATATATATATATATATATATATATATATATATATATATATATACTACTTACAACTACAATATAGAGTGTTAACAACCATTTGTTAAATGTTTATATAGTAGTTATTAAAAATGGGGGAGTTATGAACATTTAATAAATGGTTAGGGGGAGTTACAGTAAAGAACTACATATTGAAGTTTTGCTTTAACACATACAAAGAGTTTGCTCTCATGTAAACAATTGAATATAGTTAACTGCTTTGAACATCAATTTCTGAGTAACTCTTAGCCATACAGTCTACAAATAGACAAAAATTAGGATAAAATATTACCCTACAATTTTTTCCTCCCTTTTACTTGGCATACCGTCAGGGGAAAAGTACTGGCGTAGCAGCTGGTCCTGTGCACCAGCAGAGAGAGACAGGATGTTAATGGCTGCTGCGTCTGTCATAGCTCCTCCGAATCCCCTGATCTTCTGGTACTTCTGGTAGGGAACAATGGTTAACCTGATACCTGAACGAGACACACAAACAAAAAGAGATGCTTTGCACCTGCTCCAACATCACAGACATCCCCGTCAAAAGCCCAAACCACTCACCTGCCCCGGTGCTCTTCACCTGGACCTGAGCCTGGGCCCCCTTCAGTCTGCTGCCGGCCATGCTGGAAAGGTAGGAGGAGTACTGGCCCAGAGGAGGCAAGGAGACTGACCCAACACTATCACAGTAGGTTGAATTACACTCACACACCACAGAGTCATGGCCAAAGTTTCTGGCAACACATTCAGTGCTTCCTGGAAGGAGAAGAAGTCAGAAAAGAAGCATTATTGTTTCTATGTTGGGGTATAAAATGTACTTTACATACATGCAAAAACAGTGGATACAACCACTGGGACAACTGCAACCCAAACCAGGTGTTTTCTGTGTTGTGTTACCTGTACAGAGGGTCACTTCTGCTGTGAGGAAAACAAGGACCAAAAGTACAGATGATAGCAACAAAAACGCCATTTTATCTAGAAACAAAGAAAACCCAGATTAAACTACAGAGCTGTGAGTTTAAATACCAACAAATATGTTTTAAAATCAGTATTAAAAATGATAAAAAAAAATACTAGTTAACAACACCAGAAGTGCTCCTTTCATTCAGCTGAGACACACACACACACACACACACACATTGTTTTGTCATGTCATTGAGAGGATTTTAGAGAAGATTATCTCACCTTGAAGGATCCGGATACAAGCTCTGGCATGTCCTGCAGGTTACTTCAAATAGTTACACTCGACCGTCACCTTAACTGGGCCCAATCTGTCATACCAACCACTTTGTTTTGGCGATCAAATACGACTTTTGGCCGGTCATGTGACTCTCTGAAGTATCACGTGAACAACCGTGTAATATAGTCTGACCGGCCGCCAGGTGGCGCTTTACCATAAACGAGGCTAATGAAGGAGGGCATTGATGCGTTTGACTACCCTGATGTCATTCAAGGTTATATTTATAATGTTTTTAAATGTTTATAAAACCTTCAATTGAACGATGAAGAAATACAGCCTTAGAGTATGTTTTTATAATATTATCAGATATATGTATTTAAATTATAAGAGCTCTGTCAAATTAAAACATGGCGCCTCTAAAATATGGGTTGAAGACAAGGTTGTCCCATTTCTGCAGCTCTTGTTCTCCCAGTTTCAAATCTCAATTACAGATTGCACATAAAGATATTGTCATAACTAAGTGGCAGAAAATATTATTTCATTCATATTTCATTTCTTCTCAGCAATTAATGTGATTAAATCTTTTTCCAAGGCATCGGGCATGAGTCTGAATACTAATAGAGTATGGAATTAAGACTGCATTTTTATTTTACAAAAGTTATTTACAGTGGATTTGAACTGATGTTATTCAGCAATTACCTGAACTGTATTTATAAAACAAACGAAGGTACTTCTCTTACTTTATTCAACATTTTATTATCAAAGTGACACACATGCATCATAAATTACAGAGGGGGTCATATAGACATGGGTGTTTGTATGTTTTTGTATTTTTTAGTACACTGATATTTGTGTGTGTGATATTTGTGTGTGTGATTTAAGTCTTCATGTAACTTCAATGGAAGCCACAAATTCTCTCCAACATTGATGGATTTCTGTTGCTCAAAAAGATGAGTTCTTTCTTTCCGTCCTCTGTTCGACCTGATGAGGGGAAAAAAATAATGAAACGTTATTAAAACATCATTTAAATTAGTTTTTTTATTTAATAAAGCAAAGCATCCACAGTATCATCACTTACTATGTGGATACTGCAGCCAGTGGCGGTCCATATAGTAGAGGTAACAGCTCTCAAACTCCTTCTCGCTGTAGTTGGGCACAGACACCGGGATGAACGGGTCCATGCTGTCAAACCCCTTCTAAAAGAGGGAAACGAAAGTCAAAACACTGGGCATCAAATATGACCCCGTCACCCCTTTAAATAGTGTGTTAAGACAAGAAAATGTCACAACCATGACTAACAACATATAGATGCAAATATATATAAATATATATATATATATATATATATATATATATATATATATATATATATATATATATATATATATATATATATATATATATATATATATATATATAAAAATACAGACATGCATATCATAATTTAAAATGCACCACAGGACCTGTTTTATGTTCAAACAAATACAGATATTAATATTTCTATAGTTCAAATGGAGAAAGGAGAGAAATCATGGATGATAATGCATATTTTTGACATAACTTATTACAAGACAAGTCAAGTCCACATGGCCATGGGTCTAAAAGATTAATATTATGTAATTATAACTTTTTTCATTTGGTGAGACAGGAATGTTATATGACCCTACTTTGAGTTTTACAGTTCAATCATTGCACAGCACAAATGGAAAAGGTGGGTGACGATGGATTTATTGGTCCATTAGGAAATTGATCTTTTGACATGTAGACATCAACTAAATATGACTGCTGTAAATAATATTGCAATCCACTGCAACAGCACAACCACACAGTATAACGCTGCCAACGGGTTCACTGTTAAGCATAAAACAAAATGAACAAGGTAAACAGGATGGGGACAGTACGGACACATTTGAAGATGGGACTCAACCTTTGTTAAAAATGTCACAAGTGATCGATACACTGGCAATACTACTGGAAATACAGGCTGTTTTGTGGCTCACAGACAACAGAAAGTTGAGCTGTTTACCACTAAGCGACAAAGCATAACCATTATGACTTTTGTGTATCGCTTTACTTAATTCTGAAAAACAACTTCTGCCCACTGAGGATTGGAGTGATGCAGTCTCATCACTCCAAGGTTTGTAATTTCCTGACTAATAACCAAAGTTAGAGAAGAGGAGGAAAGACTCATCTGTCATTAGAGTTTGAGGGCACGTGCTACAGATTACAAAGTACAATAAAACGATCTCTGACCTCTCCCAGCAGCTCTTTAGGCAAGTAGGAATATTTTGAAGTGTAGACAGCCCCCGTCTGAGCCAGAGTGGTTATGATGGCACCTCCAGTCTGAGACAAAGAGTGAATGTTAATGGGGGAAAAAAGAAAATCTATATCTATATTATTCTCATGCGGTCATCGCCTTTAGTGTATTCTTCTCACCCAGTCGTTCTTCATCAGCTTCCTCAGGTTATAAACCAAAGTGAGCTCCTCTGGGTCCACCTGATGGACAGCAAGAAAGAGAGACACATAAGACTTCCCATCTGAAGACAAGTATGAGACATGACAGTACTGTGAATGTGTTTTCCTCACGGCAGTATTATTCATCTTCCTGATGGTGGATCTTCCCCACAGGGCGTTGACACCATCCACGGCCACGGCCAGGCGGAAGTCTGACTCCGGCTGCCCGCTTTGCAGCCTCAGCTCCTTCATCACCGCCCCCACCACATCACTGCTGGTCTTCACACGAGTGATACCCTACAGCAAAAGGAAACACCATCAGGAGGCTGATCGGTGTCTCACAATGGGGAAAACCAATTAAAGGGGGAACACCAAAGTCTGTTTACAGCATCAGTTGGGGCTGCATACTGTAAGTTAGAAAATGAAGCCGTTAGTACTATAAACACACCCGAACCTCCAACCAAACTGTCTGCGGTGGAGTTGTATTGTGGGTAATGTAGGCACCATGTTTTGATGAAGAAGAGGAATGTGTGGAATAAAAAAAAAGATGATATCTCTGGTTTTGCTGCATGGATTTTAAAACTGTCCATCAGTGGAGTACTCTCTTAAATAATAACATTTAACTTTGTTGGACAAAATCTGAGCAACTAAGTTATGTTGAGGTGTCAGAGAAAACAGTAATTTCATGTACCATTTCTTTAAATTAAGCCTGTAAACATCTGGCAGTTTAATACAGATGCCTCAGCAGGAGGTCTGAAACTCATTTGATTTCTTTTGACTAATAATGAGCCATCAGAAGGCTGGCTATTAATATCAGATCTAATTACAGCCTACAACAGAAGCTCACAGCTGAAGCAATAGTGACCAAAAATTAGTTTGTAAAAAGTCAGACGAAATATGGCAACAGCACTAATGTCTCAAAGTTTTCCTTATTATAGAGCAAATGATACAGTGAAATATAGCAGAGCAAGATGGCTGATTGGAAGAAGTCAAAAAATTCACAGGCTGAACATAAATCCACTGCTCTTTTCCACCTTTGTCAGTGTGTGTGGTACAAAAATATTGTGCTGATCCATCACCATGCTCAGTTCATTGGCTATTGATCACCACTAAGCACAGGCAAGGTGAGAGATGAAACTTTAATGACCCCTGTGGGGAAATCGGTGGGCCAGGAGGAAAGAATAGGTAACACAGAGAAAATACAACAGATTGATGAAAAACGTCTTGGAGGGTGAGATAAACCACATCTCCAATGAACACAAATAACTACTCCGAGCCAGAAAAATCCGGAGAGGGAGGGGCACTCATTTGCACTGTGAGATGACTCACCTGATCCACCAGCTCTCCTAGGGTACTTCCCTCCTCAGTTGACTCTCTTTTTGTCCACACATAGCGCTGCTTTGTCTTTATCTGGGGGAGAAACAGCACAGTTTCAATGACCACGTTTATATGTACTGGGTTCTCTTTAATTCATGCACCAGGTTTCCGAAGTTTCTTCACATAAAGATACAAATACTTCATACACAAATGTATAATGTTAGCTTTCTATTAACATAATTGCGTGTGTGTCAATATGTTAAAGACTGAGTTGCTTTGTGGGGATTATCTCTATAACGAGTCTTTATCTGCTCTATCTATTGAAAAGCAAATGTAGACAGTCCACTGGAAATTCCTGAGCAGCAATACTTCCTAGATGGTCTATAAAAGAAACATTGTCAAATCCACTCTATAATTCAAATACTTAACCATATTTAATATAAGACAGTATTTTTAAAGGTGTTGCATATAGAACCTTTCCATCCATAATCCTTTTTACATGTTAAAGAGCAGAGTCTGGCTGAGTTCTTAAGTTGCTCCCTCCTCATTACATCGAAACATGTCAAATATTTCCCTAAAATAATAAACTCATACCCCATCGTGCTGTTATATTGCTACTGTGCCATGCAAACACACTGTACTTCAAACTCTTCCTTTTACAGCGATGATGTGGGTAAATTCAGGTGGTGTCATTAAGCAGTTTAATGGCTTCATGTATATCAGCATGTGACCGCTGTGAAGACACAGTCACGGCTCATTTAAGGCCTATAAATGCCTAAACGCTTGTTAATAATGTAACAAATTTGGTAATACGCCACAAGCCTCATTGTGTACACATCAGGTTAATATTGTGAGTTCACAGCTCAAATAAATATCGCCTGATGACTGTTCATAAAACTCATTACCTTTGAAAGGAAGGGCTCATTGGTGATTCTGAAGTTGCGTAACCATTCGGTGGCTTGTAATGGCTGATCATAGCGAGAGCTGTTAAAGGATGAGGGCAGTAGCTCTTTACAGTTCTTCACCCAGAGGTGAGCTGTATTATAAAAAAGAGACATGTAGGAGGGTCACTGTTGACACTTTCTGTACTTCTGCAGTGGTAGCAGTTGGTGTGTGTGACTGTGTTGGTCTCACCGTCAGGAACATGCAGCACCAGCCATCCCTGTGTATAGCAGAAGTGGATTGTGTGACAGAGAGTCATCGTCTTCCCACTGCCCTTCAACCCATCTGAACAATGTGATAAGGTTAACAACTGGTTCATTCAGAAGCATCAAGAGTAGAAGTTTATCTGTGTGTGTGTGTGTGTGTGAGAGAACAAGTATTTCAAAGGATACAGAATAAATATCGCACGGCAGGTTTGCTGTTGTCTGTTTTCTTCAGCGAAGA